ATTCAAACATAATACACACATGCGCACTCTTCAAGAACGATGCTTTAAATCTCTCAACAAACTAATAGACGTAAACGGCATTTGTATTGTTTTCTAATAAAAAGAGATAGATTTAATGTTGTCAGCTTGCTTATTTTGCTCAAGATACTGATGTATTAAGTCCGCGTCATGCAAACTAGAAACTCCGCTTTTAACCGCAGATCTGAAATGATGCTTTCGGGAAACAGAGCTGAGCGATACTGCCAGACTGGGAAAAGAGGTGCTGCAACAGTGGAGAATATGGGGAAACTTTCAGAATATGTTGAACATTCAAACATGAAATCTTATTCCCAACAGAGCCCAAAAACGACATCAAGACTTAATATGGCCTCTTTAAAGATAAGAATCTTCACGGAGCTCTTTTAGTGTTTACATCTGTAAATCTGCAATAAAAGACAAAAATACGGCTTGTGCGCTATCAAATAAAGTCATTCGATAGCTTCGTGTGAGGAACAGACTGAAGCTCTAGCTCACGTTCCTGTCACGTTCAGTCAGACGTGAGGACCAATGGCGTCAATGTTTGAGTGTGTTCATTAAAACTAAACCACAAATTCCTGAACATTTGGTAAGATGCGTGTATTGAAGGCTTTCTGGGGAAGTGCATGGCAGAAGTGTGAATATAATGGCACACTGCGGCTCACTGTAATGTGTTGTTGTTGTTTGTGTTGAACGAGGTGTCAATCTGTTATCCTGCTGGCCTTTGGTACCGATCAATGATTCAGCTGCCAAAAGACGCTCAGGGGGGTTTGCAAGGAGGGATTTTATCTTAACAAATATCAGACAAATGAGAGACCTGCGACAACAAAACGCTTGACGCACAGATACAGATGACGGCTCGTGTGTGTCAGCCAAACACAGGCTTGGGAATCGAGAACGGTTCTTAAAGGAGTAGTTCACTTTTGAAAAAACTTTTGCTGATGATTTACTCACCCCCATGTCATCCAAGATGTCCATGTCTTTCTTTCCTCAGTCGAAAAGAAATTTAGGTTTTTAATGAAAACATTCCAGGATTTTTCTCCATATAATGGACTTCAATGGGAACCAAACGGTCCAAGGTCCGAAAGACAGTTAATAACAGTTTCAGATGCAGCTTCAAACGACACCAGACGATGAATAAGGGTCTTATCATGCGAAACGATCGGTTATTTCAAAACTTATTCCAAAAATGTAACTTTTCTAAGGACAAATGCTAGCCTTGCTCTATTGTGTGAGGCGCGTTTGTAACGTCACGTAATACGTAATTACGTTCAAAAGGTCACGGGCGACGTAGCCGGAAGTACAGAATCAAAATCGACCAACATCGTTGTTTTACCTTTTAATTCCTTTTTTTGTAAACGGCGTTTGAGTTAGTTTGCACGTTCAACCTATGCGTTCAACTTGTAAACACTGACTCTGTACTTTCGGCTACGTCGCCAGTGACCTTTTGAACGTAATTACGTATTACGTGACGTTACAAACGCGCCTCACAGAATAGAGCAAGGCTAGCATTTGTCCTTAGAAAAGTTACATTTTTGGAATAAGTTTTGAAATAACCGATCGTTTCGCATGATAAGACCCTTATTCATCATCTGGTGTCGTTTAAAGACATTTGAAGCTGCACTGAAACTGTCTTTTGGACCGTTTGGTCCCCATTGAAGTCCATTATATGGAGAAAAATCCTGGAATGTTTTCATCAAAAACCTTAATTTCTTTTCGACTGAGGAAAGAAAGACATGGACATCTCGAATGACATGGGGGTGAGTAAATTACCAGCAAAAGTTTTTTCAAAAGTGAACTCATCCTTTAAGGCCCATTCACGCCAACGACGACAACTAGAACCGTCATTTTTCGATAACTCTTGTGAGTGGGTTCTTTTCAAATGATTGGGTCGAACTCTTGTACCCGGTTCACTCCTGGTATTCAGATGCGTTTGGTGGATGGGGTCACGAGTGGACCGGCTGTAAACACTCTAAAGCGCTTCGAGCTCATCCACTTCCAGAGGAACATGAACACACACACTCGCAGTGTAAACGCTCATGTGATCGAATGTGTTCAAACAGCCTCAAAAGAGCGTCTTCTCTCCTCCTGCTGCTCTACTTGTGATCCGATCAACCCAAACACATCTTAAAGGGGTCATGAACTGGCTTTTTAATTTTTTTATATTGTTGTCTGGGGTGAACTTGGTTTTTACATTAAAAAACATCAAAATTAATAAGTAATGGGCTATTTTCAACCCTAGTTTTGAGCCTAGTTAAAAAAACGCTCGGTTTTTATGGGCGTCTCGCATTGAAGACTTGAAAGTAAACGCCCACTGCTGTGAGTGGAGAACAGTTTTGCATATCATAATGAGTTTCGCTCTCGATCCGGTTTGGCATTCTTTTTTTTTTTAGCTATGCGTGTAATGCGCAAATCGGTGGGCGGGGCTAAACCGGCCGTGTTGAAGTAGGCGTTGATCTTCTTCTGCGGGGGTGGTGTTTTATCCTCTTTGACGTCATAGTTCCCCACTTTGAAAAACGAGTCGTTTGCTGAGCCTGGTGTCAATATAAGCTTTTATCGGACTAATAAGGACGTTTTCAGTTCTGAAACGTACAGGATATTCGTATAATATGATGACCTCTTAGATGTCAAGAGCTCAAGGAAAATTTGATTTCTCAGTTCATCACCCCTTTAATACCAGGAGTAAACAGAGCCTTGAATTACTCATTTGTATCTGTCTTTTCAAAAAGTACAGCCCATTAGTTGCCATGATTTACTCAGTCTTACGATGCTTTTGGGAAACGCAGCCCAAAGCGGTTCTTGGCTGATTTACTGAACTGACAGTCATTAGTATCATTATGTCCACTTTGAACCAAGAAATGTTACTGTGCTGTTAAAGGGATAGTTCAGCCAAAAATGTCATGATTTACTCACTCTCGCACTATTGGTCCCCATTGACTTCCATAGTACAGAAAAAAAAAATACTATGGAAGACCAACATTCTTCAAAATATCTTCCTTTCTGTTCCACGGTTTGGATCAACTTGAGGGTGAATAAATGATGACATCATATTAATTTTTGGCTGAACTATCCCTTTAATGCTCATTAATTCCCATTCCTATTCGCAGCTTTCACACAGAGATGTGAAACTCACAAACACGTACACAAAGCCCCAGTCTGAAATCAGACCGGCGCCACACGGGTGCCCTGTGCAGCCCACTGTGCCATCTTTAGCTCTAATTAAGTAGCTGGGGTGAATTACAGGGCTATTGTCCACCTGAATTAGACATAAAACAAGATTGCATTAATATTTAATAGCAGTTGCGAGCAAGATGATAGTAGTGGAAAGAAGAGCGCTACGCTCTTTTCCTAATGGATTGCATTTTGAATACAGTCACCGCTCCGGCCAAACACACATCAACAGGTCGATCAATATTTCCATGCATTTTTAGTTTCCTGTCGATAAAAGCAGCGTGACGCCATGCAAAACAACCCAGATCTATCCCAATTGCTCCATCAATACGCATTTAATACAAATAAACCAGTTAGCTTCAATGGGCAGCCATTTCACGTGCATTGTCTGTATCCGTAGCCGATATCAACTCCAGGCCAAAACAACAGGGTGTATCGGGTTTCAAAAGGACAGTTGTTTTGAAGACTGACATACATGTTCACCTGATCACATATGGGCTGCTACGCTTGAAGCTCTAGTTACCATGGCAGCATCCCAAACCAGTTCCATACCATTCCCAATTTAGAACACAATGCCTGAAATCTGAATCTACACATTAGGATGACCACATGACGGCAACATATTCCAGAACACCAGGTTGGAATTCAAAGCACGACATGACAGTTACCATGGCAGCATCCCATATATACAAGCATATTTCCATATGAATCCCTGCACATACTGAACCAGCATTATAGGATACATCACATCAATATATTCCAAACAACGCAGCTGTCCAAACATACATTTCAGGTTGGAACACAATGCATGAATAGGATAAAAGAGCGTTCCTCCATTTAAGTGGGGAGAGATATTTTTCCCAATATTCCCAATCAACTTAATCGGTTGTCAATTGTTGAATATTGGGTCTGCAAACAAAATAGCGTTAATTGTGAAATAATAATTAGACGTATTATTACTACTACTAATAAAAAAAAAATAGCCAATCGCTTTCCTTTACTCCAATATTTTCCAGAACGCCAGGTCGGAATAAAACAGATCAAGCTCAGAATCCCAATCCAATTCCATACCATTCCCATTTCAGAAGGCAATGCATGACTCTAGCGTTTATAGGATATGTTACACTAATAAACATAGATGATTCCCCAGGATGGAATACAATGCATTAATATGATCAACTCTGATTAAATGGGAAGAAATCTTTTCCCGATATTCACTTTAAACCTATGCTAATTGGTTCTCAATTTGTCAATATTGGGTCTACCGATAAATGGCATGGCATAATTCAGGTATATAATATAATATGTTGAATTTAAGAACAATTACAATTAAATTAAAATGACAAGAACAATAATCACGCTGACCTCAACAATACGGGTCATAAAAAAACAACAACAACAACAACAATATCGGTCTATTAATATTAGACTACTCCAATATTTTTTCTGAACAGCAGGTTGGGAAACAAAGCATGCAGCATCCAGACAGATAATCCAGAGCCTGCCAGGCTGAAGACCACACATGAACCCTGCATGTCTGAACATTTCTTTGTTAAGCAGAAGTTCTGGTTGTCTTTGCCGCACTGACTGTCGTGTTCAGATTGAGCCATCGCTAATTCTTCAAATCGCTTTCGCTGCAAACCGCGACACACGTCGTGTTGAAAACTGTCCACCCTAATTTGACTAATTAATTACATCTAGTTATATCCACTACCGCAGGTTTGCGGATAAGCGTCAAGAAAAAGCCCTAAACCTCCTCACGCATTATCCGGCGGTGCATCGCTGCTTCCCTCCCCGCTCTAGAGGCGCCTTACCTCGGCACGCAGCTCGGGGACGACCGGTCCACTTCCCAGGTGGCGTACAGGTTCATGTGCACCGGCCGATTGGAGGCGATCGCCATCGGCTTGGAGGGCTGCGGAGACGGTACTCCTCCAGTCCTCGGGAGCCCTCCCCGATCCGACATACTGGAGGAACCTTATGTTTGAAAACAATGAAAGAAAACCCGAATAAAGCGGCTATTGTCGGAGGGTTGGTGCTCTAACGTTAATGCTCCACGAACACCGAGGCTCGGTTGTATACCGGATCCGCTGTTCGCCGTCAAACTCGCGGCCAGTGTTGCTCAAGTTGCGTTAGTTGTTTATCGGTGCAGGAAGCGGAAATTTCTTTTTTGCCTCGCAGAGAAGCGCCACTGCCGAAGAGCAACGCCTCTAGTGAAAGACGAGCCCTCACAACCAACCACTGAGAGAGAGAGAGAGAGAGAGAGAGAGAGAGAGAGAGAGAGAGAGAGAGAGAGAGAGAGAGAGAGAGAGAGAGAGAGAGAGAGAGAGAGAGAGAGAGAGAGAGAGAGAGAGAGAGAGAGAGAGAGAGAGAGAGAGAGAGAGAGAGAGAGAGAGAGAGAGAGAGAGAGAATATCCAGAATATTTGGGCCTTTTTCTTATTTGTTTGCTTGTTTACTGTGTAAATTTGCAAACTGTTCCCTACACTAAAAACAAAGAAACTAAAAGTTCAATTGAAGTAGCATTTTCTTGTAAATGACAGCCTACTCCAATAATCTCTACAGCTTTAAAAAATCCTGTTTTAGTCTACAATGGAGGCCATACCTACGACAGAGCCACAATGGGGATCACTTATTTTCCATTTAGCTTCATTTATATATTTAGCAGACACTCTATCCCAAACGACTTGTGATTAAAAGGCCATTCTGGATGCAGTTTTCTCTTAAAACCCTGACAGCAGAAACCGCAGCAGCACTTTTCGAAACACTTGTGGTTCCTCAGGAAATGGTTTTGTGTAAGTGGAGGGAGGTGATGGATGTGTGTCATGTGCTGTTCCCGTTGCAGACAGTGGAGATTTATTTATTAATTAAACATAAATTAAATCGCAGCTGTAAGAAGTTCACCATTCGTTGATAAATAACATAATGCATTGTTTAGAAATAAGTGAAATATAAAATGCCAAAAGTGATTGATATCCGTTTCGTCTAAAAAAAACGGTAAACCTTTTGAGCACTTTGGCCATTTATTTAAACGACAACGTTTTGGGGGCCTGAAAACTCAAACTTTAGAAAACGGGTTTCAAGTGTTTGAAAACGATATTATCTTTGCATGTGAACGACAAAAACGTGAATCTGTGAAAACGGTGACGTCATGCACGTCCCAGACAGCAAACTGACATTGAATCAACGTGGAAACGACATCTCTCATGACATTGAAACAACGTTGATTTGCTCATCGAATTAACGTTGAACCAACGTCAGACGCGGCATTCTTCAAAGCTAAATGAAATCGAAAATTGGTTTGCTTTCATAACGTTGAAACAACACGTTGATTTTAAGTTGATTTTCCGTTAGTTTTGAAAGAATGACGCATCTGACGTTGGTTCAACGTTAATTCGATGAGCAAAACAATGTCAGATCAACATTGTTTCGATGTCATATTTCCACGTTGATTCAATGTCAGTTTGCTATCTGGGGTGTGTATTATGTGTAAGGCCCTTGCACACTGAGTCCGAAATTTTCGCACGTTAAAAAATATATACGACCTCACGTTATGTCAATCACGCTTGCACACTGCCTCTGAAACTTTCATGCATCAAAAAAAAATCGTATTGGGTTCGAGTTTCTGCATTTTTCGCATCCGTATCAAGCATCGAATGATGTTTGAATGGTGTTTCGACAATTCAGAGCCGCTGAATCACGAAAAAATGTATATGAAAATTTCGAACTCAGTGTGCAAGGGCTTTAAATCTATGCGTGTAATGTTTCTTTTCACAGTGGCATCGCCATCTACTGGCCTGGCGGCAGAATACAGCGTTTTAGTCATTTCCGCGGATCCATTTGAATGAGGATCATTTTGACAATGTTGTCGTCTGTTCATGAAAAACGCAAATGATAATCTTTTACGTTTCTGATCTACATCATTGTTAACTTGTGTAACCATTATTTTCTCTCAATCATAACACTATTTGGGAGCAGATAACACATATTTACAAGACAATGAAAAGTTTTTACTTTGCATTTTTTTGGAGTACAGACAACAACATTGTCAAAATGTCCATTCAAACGCATCCGTGAAAACAACTGTATTCTGCTGCCAGGCAAGTAGGTGGCAATGTAAAGAAACACCTATAGATTTAATTTTTTTATTGAATGGCAGTCACATTCAAAAAATAAACATGACACATATTATACAAGAATAAGACAATAAAAATCAACTAATTATACATTACAACAAATAGGAAAAGAAAACATAGTGTAATGAAAATTAATAATATACTAGTATTTTAATATAATAAATTATATTATAATTTTTATAAAATAATTTATAATTTTTATAAATTATATAATATTTTTTTTTTTAATAACATAAAAATAATATATTAAGAAAATTGGGAACAGGTATGAGATCATCATATGCAAGCTTCACATAAAGACCTAGTACGTTTTGCTTTACTGTTTTCAACTGATATTAACAATAAAGACCACATTTGGTGGTAATCTTTGTCTATTAAAATAAAAAATACATATTTTTCAGAAAAGTAAACTTTCATTGCTCAGTATTTACAAAGAAAACATTACAAATCCACACAAAACATTTCGCTATAGCTAAATGCAATTAGAAAGATAAGTGAACAACATTTTCTTTCTCAGTCCCACAGAAATCACATTTAACATCTACATCAGTACGAAACCTAAAGAGTTTGAACACACCAGATGAAGTATTTTAAGATGTAGGCTAGGCTAGGCTAATTCTCTCGTAACATGTAAGTTAATTCACATATGCGTGAAGTCACCCCTGCTGAAAAATCCAGCTAAAACCAGCCTAGGCTGGTTGGCTGGTCTTAGCTGGTTTAAGCTGGAAGTAGCTGGTTTTAGTTGGTCACCCAGCCTGGCTTAGCTGGTCAAGCTGGTCTCCCAGCCTGACCAGCTAAGACCAGCCTGACCAGCTAAAACCAACTTGACCAGCTAAGACTAGCCTGACCAGCTGAAAAAGTGTTCAAAACCCCTCTAAAACCAGCCTGATAAACCAACTATAACCAGGCTGGGAGACCAGCCAAAACCAGCCAACCAGCCTTGGCTGGTTTTAGCTGGATTTTTCAGCAGGGACCGTTTCACAAATTCACTTTTTTGTAGTTTACATGGGTTCGCGTTGTTTGCGTTTTCAGGCCCCCAAAACAGTGTTTTTGTATAAACTAACAGCCAGCACGCTGAACAGTGTGTGAATGTAAACGGCCCTTAGACCCACTGAACCGCAAGAGTTGATGAATTATTGACGGGTTCCAATGTGGGTCAGATTTGAGTTTCTCCGGTTTACAGCTCGTCTTCATGACTTCACAGCTGACGTGTTTAACAGTTATTTAATGTCGGATGAATTTTTTATTAGAAATATACATATAGACATTAGATAGAAATTTTGAAATGTTTCCTTTGTATCTCTCACAAGCACAGCACTGTCATTGTATATTTTTATGTATTTTAAAATATATTTAGATATTTTTGTTGGTCTTAGTAAATATTGTAAAAAAATATCTGTTAAATTAAATAAAATAAATTAATGTACATCTCATTATTAAAAAAATAAATTATTTAATGCATTATTCAATTAAATAATAAAATAAGTTAAATTGTCTCATGAGCATCTCTGTTCATGCAACCAACATTTGAGGATAAACAAGCGTTTATCTGAGGTCAAAGCTAACTTCATTGCACTTTGTTGGTCATGTGATCATGTGTCAGCGACATTATAATGAGCCTAGATTATAGATATGACACTGATCCTCTCCTGTCCTAATACACACCTCCACATCCTCAGGACAGGAGTGGGACGAGAAGGTCATTTAGAAACGGCTCCTGTGTCCTAACAAGCCACCGCTGAGATTAAGATTATCTTGCATGTGCTGGAAATAAGTAAATACACCTTAAAAATAAAGGGTTTTTTTTGTTTGTTTGGTTTTTTTTTTTCACAGCAATGCCATAGAATAACTACTCTTGGTTCCACAAATAACCTTTCAGTGAACTTTCAGTTCTTCATTTTTTTTTAAGTTTATAAATCATACTTTTTTCACTCGAAACCTTTATTCTATGGATGTGAAACTTCCTATGTGGAACTATAAAAGCCAGCAAAGAACTTTTACTGTTCTTACAGTATACTGCAGTAAGCAATTTCTAAAAAATGCTGTTCGGACAAGTGATCAGACAGATTAGCACAACACTCCTGTAGCCAATCAGCAGTAGGGGGCGTGCCCACTCATGATGGGGGAGGAGAGATTGAGCCAATCAGCAGTAGGGGGCGTGTCCACTCATGATGGGGGAGGAGAGATTGAGCCAATCAGCAGTAGGGGGCGTGTCCACTCATGATGGGGGAGGAGAGATTGAGCCAATCAGCAGTAGGGGGCGTGTCCACTCATGATGGGGGAGGAGAGATTGAGCCAATCAGCAGTAGGGGGCGTGCCCACTCATGATGGGGGAGGAGAGATTGAGCCAATCAGCAGTAAGGGGCGTGTCCACTCATGATGGGGGAGGAGAGATAGAGCCAATCAGCAGTAGGGGGCATGTCCACTCATGATGGGGGAGGAGAGAGAGAGAGAGAACGCAAGGGGGAGATTTGAAGAAGGACTGTAGAAAGAGAGATGGCTGAGAGACATTACAAAAGAGAAAAATTCAGAGGAAAATCACTTGGAAAAGAATGGTTATGATCAGGCAAGAGCTTTAGGACCCGCGTTAACATTAGAAAAGCTTTCCAGCTTTCGTTTTTTGTTCTTTGTTGTTCGTTCATCATCTTTGCTTTATTTTGCTTTGCTTCAGCAATGATAAAGAGACATCCACTCGTTTTAGGGGCGGATCAATGAGGAGATGGGTGTGTGTGTGTGTGTTTGTTTGGGTTGATTTCAAATATCAACAGTGTTTCTCTGAAATCACTTAATATATATAAACTATGAAAAGCTTTTCTCACATTTGAAATAGTCGTTTAGTCACACAGTTCCAGGCAAACGGGATATAATTTGTCCAGTAAGCAGGCGTTGGGAACCCCATGCAGAGCTGGTGATGAAAGCACATCTATATTTATCAGACTCATTAACCCCTGTGGGTGTGTGTGTGTGTGTGTGATGGAGAGAAACACGACTGATGCTGACCAATACATGACACAGCTAGGCTTCTCCTGTGTGTGTGTGTGTGAGTGTGTGTGTGCCTCCAGCTTTCGTCCATCCTTTAATGAGCGC